CTGCCTCTTGTACCTTCACCCACGACAACTAACTGTGTCTGAATCACACTCAAGCCTTTCTTACTTTAAGGCAAGAGCTGGTGGTGACCCTTACAATTTACTTTATTTGTCCCCTTTTGTAACTTCTGAACTTTTTTCTGGTGGGATAACAGATTGGCTTCTAGCTACCTCAGAGAGTGCACTTTTCCCAAAGAAATTGGACTGCCTGTAGCAACACATGAGGCATGTCAGCTGGACAGCCCTGACTAAGCACGGAGAGAATGGGGAAAAGGGGAAAAGAGGGGTCTTGGATCATTTACATGGAACACAACATAACAGATGGTCACATGGAGACTCCTCCAGAGTTTGCTTTTGGTTAAAAAAAATGAAGACACATCCTGCAGTTAAGTATTTTTAGCGTCTCCAAGCATGGCAATATTTTGCCTTTCTCAATAAAAGGTAATCATGCAATTTCATTCTTTTATGCTTTACTTCCATTTGGCTGCTTTTCTGAAAAGTGACAGGGTTAAAACAAAAGTCAGAAGGGACCAGCCAGCACTAAGAAAACCATCCCTGAGTCAGGAGGAATCTATTTTACTCTATTTTGTATCCATATGTATTTTTATGCTCCTGTATCTCCTAATAGTCTCAGGAATATTTCATTTGCCACTACTTCTCCCAATATGAATTTCCACCCTTTCAGTTATTCCCCTTCCTTTTAATTATTATTTTTATTTTAATTATGTGTTTTTAAGAAATTGTGCTGTGTGCACCTACATATATACAGACTCACATACATTTTTGATTTTTAAAGGAAAAAATCCATCCTTTGTTCTGGGGTGGTCACTTGTATAGATTTATATCTTTTTCTAAGTATGAGTAAGTTCCATTATTTGACTGAAATCAGGAAAAAGGTGGAAAAAGCTTGAAGTCTGACTAAAGGCAGAATGCATCATGAGCTCATAGCTGTATTTTTTGCCAACTATACCCAATATTCAGTGATTCATTGTTCACACAGGTGCTTCACAAAAGGAATTAAGATGGAAATAAATATGTGGAAAAAGCAAAGTCTTTGTGTAATTCAAGTGCTCCATGAACACAATGGTTCCATACTTGAACAGGAAGCATTACTTTATATTTGTGATGATGCCTTTCTGAGGCACCTGATGAAGATTTGGGGTTTAAAATTAGCTAGTCACACCCTTTCCAAAAGAAAAAAAATAAAAGAAAAATACCTGAGAAGAACTTTTTGTCCTTCATCTGTAATTTTCACCCAAGAGAGGGAAATTTAAAATGCCAATAATCTAAATCTAAACTGGGCTTTGGGAAGCCATTCTAGTGAGGTGCTGGATATGCCCCGTTGTGTCTGTGTTCCCCGCAGCCAGCTCAGCTCCCAAATCCATGGGTTTAGTTCCTACTCCTGTTTTTGGAGCCCCTGTGTCTGAGTCAGTCTGGAAACCAGTTCCCACTGCCAGGTTGTTAACATGGAGATCAGCACACAGGGCAATAAAAGAAAATAAAACTAAACACCACAACATAACACAACAGGGGAGGGAGCACAAGGAGGGGTGGGTCAGCAGAGTTTTTCAGTGTGAGGAAAACAACACATGTTTTCCCTTGCCCAGGCTCCAAAAGAGCTGAATCATTTTGTTTTTCCAAATAACAGAGATAGCAGGCATGAAAAAATTCAGTTCAAATGATTCAAACCTGGCAAAAAAAAAAAAAAGTGAGCAATTGAAAATAGAGGCAGGGCCAACACACTGAAAGGAGCAATTCTACCTGCAGTGGAGCTGGAAGATTGCTGTTCCTCCTGCAATCCATGGGATGTAGGGCACATGGATTATTCAGGCTGTTCTGGGACAGCAAAGGCCAATTATTAGGGACACCTGAGACACAAACCATTCTCAGGTACAACTCTGCCCTTAAAAGGTGGTACTAAATACCACCTCAGAATAGCTGCTCTGTACATGGAAACACATTTGTTGTAAAAACACTGACTAATTATTAGCACTATTAGCTAAAAATATTATTATTTTTACTATTAGTATGTTATTGCCCATTTGAATTATTCATATGGAGCTGCTGATCACTAAAAGAGAAAGACCTGATAAACAAGGTGTATGGTCCTTTTAACTTCATTTCAACAGCCTGTAAATACTGCAAAACTCAGATTGCTGAGCTATTGGATTAATATTTGCTAGATAGGCAATGAGTTATTTTACATTAACGTAGAAGCACAAGAAATGTGCAGAAAACCAAGTAACTGTGGACAGCAATGGGATACCATGGCTTTTCTGAAAGGCTGTTTCTGGAGGTTTTACTAATAAAATAAAAACTAATAAAATAGCATGTAAGTTACTTAGATGGCCCTGCCAAGATGGGCTGAGTAAGTGATTAATAAACAGAACTGGCAATATAATATAACGATGTGGCACAAGTTTCATTTCACCTCAAATTGCTAAATATGAAACACAGGAAAATTTCTGTTGACTCCATGTTCTGCAGACTTTCAGCAATGGGTGACATCAGCTGTACCCAACACCAATTGCTGACTCCATGCAACCCAGGAATGGGTCAGGATGAAACACATCCCTGCAAAAGCAGCTAATACAAGGTTAGGTGCTTAACAGGGAAATACAGCCAAGCTTTTTGTGTGTCCTCAACACCTGGTAATGCCATTCCAATGCTAACTCTGCTGGACACTGAAAAGGCAAAAAGGACACCCAGATCCCAGGTAGGCAGGGTGTGGGATCCCTGAATTAAGTGGCACAGAATTCAGACCAGATTATTTTTACTTCCTGTCATCTAGTGTGTCTATGCTTGCTTTAACAAGCCCTGTGATTTGGTGAGAAGTGAGCACGTGCACATTTATTCTTTTGGTGGCAAAATTGCACCACATTCATTGGACACTGATGCCTAATACAAACTCTGCCACTAATTTTCATCAAAAGAAACAAAGCCTTGGCAGGCCTTGAAAACAGGACACAAATTTATCTACAAATGTCTGGATCCTGCTGTTTCTACAGAACAGCCCAGCTTTCATATCATCAATTTTCTGAGCAGCAACTCCAAAGAATCATCCTTTTAATGTTTCTGAGAAAGGGACGTAATGGAGGTGACTCAAAGGAATAGATGCTGCAGCTACAACCACTCTCATTATGTACATGTGAGATGCCTCAATGTTCCTGCCTGCTGATTACATGAGCAAACATTTTTAGTATGCAAAATCCTATTAACTCAAGGGGATTCTGCATATTTTTATAACAGCTCCACTTGTGGTGTTTGATCGACTGGGTCAGCAACAGACAGATGGCAAAGAATTAATTCTCTAAGGCTGCTTTATTGCAGGGCTGGCATTGGGGTTTCCTCTACTCACTCCACTGGGATAAAACAGAACTTTTTCTACATTCCCTACACCTTTTTCTCTTCTAAGAGCAAGAATGTTGAAGCTGTCAGCGCAAAGAGGAAGAGAAATGAAAACTCTTCAGTGTGACATTTACTCTCTCCTAAAAAATCCTAAACCAAAAAGGAAAGTTAACTTCAAAAACATAAAGTAACACAATAATCCAAGAGATTACTCTGGAACACATCCCTTCAATAATTAGGGTTTTCTCTTGCTCCATTGATCACTTCAGAATTCTGAAGTGCAGAGAAAAGTATTAGCCAGTACTTAGTGAATTTGTGCTTAGCATGTATTTAGATGGAAAATTATTAGCAGCCTAAAAATGGTGCCTAAAATTAAATTATTAATGCACCATTTCCCCAATTTGAGGAAAATGGTCCCCAAAGTAAACAATAATCTGGCTGGGATTTATAAGCAGAACTCTTAACCTTATGAGATGCACAACTTAGTCCCAGAAAACCTTCAAAACATGGAGGGAATTAAACTGATACAGAAATATTTGGCTGAGGTTTTTTTGAAAGCCCTGTAACTACACAAACTTGGAGGAGTTAACTCAGAGACTCGCATGGATCCAGCAAAAATTCCAACTGTTTCACTTGTCAAAGCATTGTCCCTTGAATCCTCTGCCAGCATTATCCAAAGTGGGTCAAAAGGCAATGGGGAAGACACACCAAGGAAAGACAAATCAGGATTTCTTTTAGTTGAAAAACCCCTTGGTTTGGAGAAACAGCCCCATTCTGTTTCACCACAGCACAGTTCCTGTTAATGGCACTGTGTCATCATTCTTCCAGAAGCACTGATTTTTGTAACTTGAAAAAAATTCTTCTGGCTTTTGTTTGTTGGGTTTTTTTTCCTTGTGTTTTTTTCTTTTAATATTACAGTTTCCATCCTGATTTCTCACATCACTTTGCATTAGGAATGTTTCTCTGACATCCAAGCTAATTAAGCCTGCTTCAGAAATAAGGGCTTGAGGTTGTCAGCCATACCTCACAACCCTTTGGACAAACAATTCTCCTCCATTTGGATTTTTAACTAAGCTTACTGAAAGTGCTTTCATATCAGAAAATGGGGACAAAATTTTGACTAATCCAAAGCAAGACTTCTATTTTCTTTTGGAGATAACAAATGGCAGCTTCAGCCTCTAATGCTGACAGTGCACTAAGTCAATCCCATCCCTGAAACTTAGCCCATCTCTTTGGCCTCACATCCAAGGAAGGAAGAGTTTCTTTTTGGCTAAATCAAGAGGAGCCAAGCAAACCCAAGTGCTCAGACAATCCTTGGACCACTCTTACACAAATCTTGGATCTTTCTTATATGATACTGGAGATCAGTAAAGAGCAAGGCACATGTGACTGCAGAACACCAAGGATTTCATCTTCTGCCACCAACAGCTCACAGAATTCTCAAACTCATTAACAGTGTCACCAAAGGGTGTGTTCCTCTCATTCCTAATTATTCCAGGACATCTCCACTTAGTGAATTAGATAAAAACCAAAGTCTTCACTCACTCCTTCCACACCTGTGTTCAGCCGTGTACGGTGTGACTTCTCCCCAAACCCAAGTTCATTTGATGTTTTCTTCCCAATATTTCAGGAGGAAGAGATATTTCCCTTTTTACCTGAAATGGAGACTGGCTGTTGTAATTCTTGATCTCCTTGTTGGCTCCGCGGAACAGCAGCACCCTTGCACAGCTCTCCTGAAAATGATGGAAAAGGAAACTTGTTCATAAAGATCCTTTGGCACTAAAAAGACTGTGGCTGCTAAGAGGTTATGAGGTGGTTGGTCTATATTTTCATGATAAAAATAAACCAAATAAATTATCTGAGAACTTAAATTGTTAAAACAGCATTTTAAAAATGACAGGGCTTCAGGTGCTTTGCAGTATATTAGGAACACTAGGCAAACACTAGTGCAGGAATACAAGTAGTAAACACCTTATTAAATTTCTAAGCAACTGTACTGACAAAGTTCCATATTTGACAAATCAAATTTTGCACAAATTTGACTCCCATATGAGGGTTTTGCCTATATTGTTGCAAAAACAGTATTGTTCACAGAACTGGGATGAATTATATCCTTCCCTCCTGCTAAAAGTTAAACAAAGCAGTTTTACCACTTATTTTGTTGGGGACGTTTTTCAACCTATCCTCAATATTAAATGTATGATTTTTTTTTCGCAGTACACCTGAAATTCTTTGATCTGCCCATACACACTACACTGACCAGTCTTATTGCCTCTCTTTTCTCCTAAAAAATGCTAGGAGTTACAGCACAAGGAGGAAAATTTGGCTTCAGATCCTCCAAACTGAGAAAATCTGCAAAGGAAATCACTTAAAAACCATTTAATTTGGCCAATACAATGCATTGGTTAAATTATTGCTCTCCATGGTTGTTAAATATGACTGCCCACAATCTAGTAGAAATTCTTGGAGGTTCTGAGTGGATTCTCAGAATTTTTGATTCCTGTATGGACACTGTTTCTTACTTGTCATCTTTAATGTTCATCTTAGGGTCTTATGCAAATCAATTCACATTTCAGAAGAGTATTATATTCCATCATAACAAACATTGTTCTTAATTTTCTTGTGCTTTCTGTGTTGTCTTGATACGTTATGCTATGGAGTTCTACCTATGAGGTATTTGGATGTGCTACCCTTCACTTTGAACAGCAAATTTGCAGTCAGAGAAGAGAAAGAACATAATTTAGATATTTTAGTGACAGAAATGAAGCTTATTTACTGGACTCTGAGTCACAGGTTAATTTGCAGAAATTATGATTGAAAATCATTACTGTCATTGTGTTGTCTAATTTCTCACCATGGATTCTTGGTCCCATTAAGTCTCCCCATCACAGGGCTGCCCTAAATGTATCTGGAAAGGAGGTTATCCTACCTTTTCCTCAGCTGAAAAACAACAGAATGGATCAAGATGGTAAATTAAGAATTATCTCTTAGATTATAATTTTTAATGATATACAATTAACTGAGATAGTCTCATTTGCTTGCACTGCAATTTACACTTTAGTTGCATTTTCTCTATCTCTAAACAATTGATCAATGCCCAATTTGAATCAAGAACTTGAAGATATAAATAATTATATTGAACAACATACTGTATTTATTGGGTGATTATTCATTTGTTTATCAGAATAAATCTCCCAACATTGCAACGCCAAAAGAATTATACATTCAAAAACTCTCAACAAATTTAACTGAGCTGCCTGCAGTGTAACAAAAACATGCAAAGGGATTTATTAATTAAATGATTGTGACTCAAAAGCTTTTGCCAAAAGTTGTGAAAGAGCTGTTCAACATTAAAAAAAAATGGGTTAAGTATTGAATTCGTTTGTTTATTTATTTTTATTCTTTTGAAACAAACAGAAGCAATCTTAACTTCACGTTTGCTCCTTTTTGTTTCCTCCCCATCTGTCAGATTATATTCAATTTTAATACTACAACAGCCTTCATCTCAGATCCAGTCCTCCCAGTGAAAGAGGGCACATTTCATCCCAGAAAAAAACAGACTTACTGCATGGCCATGGAATAACTTTCAAAACCAAGAGTTTATTCAGATCAGGACTTCGGTGACATCCAGGAAAACAAATTTACCAACTTCAGAAAGTGAGCCAAGAAAATTCCCCAGGGAAACGGGAAGGGAAGATCAAACGGGCAACGACTCCATCTACAGGAATCTGGAGGTAACAAGGGCACTGCCGTCCTTCCCATCCTCTCCAGCTGGAAAAGGCAGCACCGTTCCTTCCACATGAACCAATAACAACTTTCCATTAAAAAAAAATGCACTGGCAAAATCAGCACAGGTTAAGGTTCACAGCACCCCAAGGGAAACTCTGTATTTCCACATACCTGATGAAGAAAAACAGAAGGACCACAGTGCAGGCAGAATATGTTGAAGTTCTATTCACCAAGCCAAGCTTAGTGACTGTGTAATATTTGAAAATTTGTAGATGCAGTTTCAATTAGAGTCTAAGTCTCCTGCAGAATAACTTCTACTGAGGTCAGGAAAACACATCTCTGCATGGAAAATGCTGTAATTCTACAGGATTTCTCTAATTCCCACCTCATACTGCATAAACTTTGCTAAAAGTGTATGGTCTTGAAAAATGTCCAATTATCTCCAAAATTCTTTTTTTTTTTTTTTTTTTTTTTTTTTAAGCTGAGGGCATTTTAGACCTAATTGAGGACTCTGTCTTGACAAGACTGTAGAAAAAAACTAAGATGGTAATTTAATTAAGAAGCAGATCCTTTAACAGATGTTTCACTGTTTACAGTCACATCTCATGCTTTCCAAATTCAATGTAATATTCTATGTGCTGAATTTTAACTTAGTTCTAAAACTCATCCCCTCCCCATTCTATCCCTGCAAAGAGAGCATAAAATGCTACCAAATCAAAAGGCTGTGCTACTTGTAAATGAGTACACAAGTTGTAGACAAAGAATCCAGTATCTTCTGTATAGAGACAATTCCACAGTATTTTATAACTTTCTTATTTAATTCTAAGTTAAATTATAGACTAACAGCAATAAATGCTGTACAGGAAACAAATACCTAGATATGAATCAAACCCAAAAAAGCTGGTAAAGCATGATGTTTTATTTTTTAATATCCATACTCTTTCTACCTACAATGAGCAGCCTTATTTGTAATCAGTGAATGAAACAGCACTAAAATAATTTCAACTATGTTCTTTCCAGATTGCAAGATCACTTTTTAATACCTGAAGCACTTCATTGCATATAAAATAATGTAGTGATAGGATGAAGGGGAAAGGCTTTAAATTGAAAGAGAGCAGGTTTAGATCAGATCTTGGGAAAGAATTCCGCCCTGAGAGGGAGGTGAAGTCCTGGGGAAGTTGTGGATGGCCCATCCCTGGAATGTTCAAAGTTAGGTTGGATGGTGTTTGTAGCAATAAGTAGTAGTGGAAGGGCATTGGAAGTGGATGATCATCAAGTTCCCTTCCAAGGCAACCCATCCTGTGATTCTGTGAGCTCCCAGCTCCTGCTGGGAATATTTCTGTCCCTGCAGGGGCTCTCACCTGGTTGTAGAGGGCACAGATGTGCAGTGCCGTGTTCCCCGAGGCGTTCTGCGCGCACATGTCAGCGCCGTAGAACAGGAGGTGCTCCAGGTGTTGGACGTGGCCGTACCTGCAAGCCTGGGCAGGGATAAATCGATATTCTGGTTATTACACCAAAGCCTAGGCAAGATTTTCAGCAGAGAAGGTGCTGTTTTTACTGAGGGTCTAATTTTTAGAATCACACCTGGTTCTCTGATGGGAGCACAGATACTCAGACGTGCATTCCTGCACCAATTCCAATGTGGGTGCTTCAGGTACAGTAATCCTGTGCTTGAACTTAACCATCTGATTATTTTGGGAAAGGCAGCCTAAGGGATCAGGAAAATACTGCCTTTGGAACTTTTTATCCACTAATATTCATGACTCAAATGTGACAAGTTGTTCATCCTGCTACACTCTGGAACGCTGCCCACCAGATGGCACTGAAGATGATCAAATTGCCAGAGTTTTTTCCTCAAACTGCTTAGAGGCCATAGAAAGAAAATCTGGCCAAAATCCAAGGAAACCTTCTTGGTTCTGTGATGTCAAACAGACACACAACATACACAAGACACTGCTCCAAAACAGGGGGAAATCTTCAAGAGTTACTTTATTTGTCACACAAATAAAAGTTTCAACCCTGGATTTTTGGAAATAAGCCTCTATGAAGAAGATTCACAGAAATTAGAAGCTTTCCTGATTAGCAAATAAGCTTTAGAAAAATCACAGTGATTCTAGTCCGTGGCCTCTTTTACTTGACATCCTTCTCCTCTATGGCCCACTGACCAAGCATCTCCCAATTTTTAATGTTTTGAACTTTGTGGTATCTTAGATCAACATCATTCCTACATCGAATAATCAGAATTTAAGGTAAGACATAAAGGTATAGAAATCCACTCAGTCACTCCTGAATTCAGTGGGAGGTACAGACTGACACACCTGGCTTGGATCTACAATTTGGAAGAGAAAAGTTAAGTGGACTGCTCAGGGCACAAATTAACTCCCCATCCTTCTCATTTCATTGAGGAATGTTTGAATTATTGATTAGTCAAAACAGATTGCTTCTAACCCAGATGTAAACATTGATTTATTTAGGATTACAACCAACACAGAGAGTTTGGAAAGCTCTATTTCATTATGAGAAATAATAACCCTATGTACATGAGGCTAGGGTTTAAAAAGAGGGACATTTTCTCTGTAATTTTTTCAAGTCCAGATGGGGCAATACTTTGATCTAGACAATCCATTTCCTCCATATCCTCAGAAAATATGATAAAAAAATAATTCCTTTCTTTTCCCCTACTCTAGAGATGGATCCAAACAACCTTGACCTAGACCCACTTAGTGAAAAAGCTCCAATTCCTGCCCAAATGGGTGCCAAAGCTACCTCCCATTTCTTTCCAAGAAAAGAAAAAATCTGTGTACTAAAGAATTTAGTGCACAGAAAATAAATTGAGTCAAGATGACCCAGGCAGACCTGTAAGGTTGATTACTTGTATCTTTATCTCATATTGCAGCAGTTCCAATTTTTGTAGTTTTCCAAACTCATCCATACAGAGACATGACAAAGTAGCAGCAATGACATTGGGACTGTTAGAATCTTTGAACTCTGTATATTACTGAGTTTATCACTGTGCAAAGGGAAATCAATAAAGCATTTTTACACAACTGCTGGATAACATTCAGGCATTTCTGGAGAGGACAGGGAGAGGCTGAGGGACCCCAGCAGCAGGATCCTCAACCCAAACCTTCCTGTAAAGTTCAGCAGACAAAAGGAAAAAGCAGCCTGACAAACACAGAAGGAGCATTACCAAGGACACTGACACTGGCATCTAACCAAAAGAAAGAGCTACAAGTTCCTACTGAAGTGCCACAAACAGGAATCTAAACTTCCAAGAGTTCATGGCATAAATATGATGAGTGCGATTTCTGCATCAAAATCCACAGTAACCCGAGGATTTCAAAGTTACAGAGCACCACTAGAATAGTTTTCTACTTCTTAGTCACCATAGCAGGATGTAAAGTGAATAAATAAAAACAAGTAGAAAAAGCAGGTAGAAAAAAGAAGAAATTTCATACTTGAATGTGCAGGGACTTCAAAATAGCGCTTAACCCTAGAACAACCACGAACAACTTCCTCATGCAAGTCCAACTCCAAACAAAAAGCAAATCTTTCCTACCTGATGAATTTCCTGCCATCCATTTTCATCCTTGCAGCTGACTGTAGCATGTTCATGGAGCAAGAGCTCACAGCAGAAAGGGTCCCCTCCCACCACGGCTGTGTGGTACAGCGGGGTCAGGCCACAGCTGTCCTTGTAGTTGGGAGATGCTCCCAGCTCTAAAAGGGTCTGAAAGCAATCACAGACTGTGAAAAATAGATTTGGGAGAGACTTCCACAAAAAGGGTTTCTACCTGAAAAAGTATGTATAAGGTTGATCATTGACGTAACATTTTTGCTCAAATATTTATCAGCTGCTAAGAGTGGGCCACAGCACAGACTAAGTTAAGCAAGAAATGACCTTGGGTGAATTAAGATCTAAAGGAATCTATGGGGATGGCACAGGAAGGAGTGGCAATGTCCAGTTTCCATCCTCTCACTAGGTTCAGAAATGTCAGCTCTGTAAATGTTGCATCACCTTTGCAACACATTCACCTTCAGTTCCAAGGTGCTTTACCAAAAATGTCATGCAATTTAAATATCTGTCAAAAGGAAATAAGCAAAATCCATAAATCTAAGACTTCATCTAGATCATCAGAGTGAATTGAGAATAGCTGTTAAAATACAGAAGAAAACAGAAGACATTGTGTTAAAGCATAATGTGCAATCCGTGCCACTGGAAGCTGCTTTCAAAGAATTAAGAAACAATAAATGCTATTCCTATTTCCTCAGACAGATCTCAGTGTATCAATGAATAAGCTTAAATTTCACCACTTTTCTTCCTACCAGGAAAAGATAGATCAGAAATTAAAAGGCTCCTTATTGAAGGCAAATCCTAAGATTTGAAAGCCACAAGAAAGCACTAGAACAAGCACATCCTAAAGGATCCATGGAGGACAACACAGTAATTAACTGAAAACAGTCTCACTTATGCCTTCTTTTTAACAAGATAACACATAATTTGCTCCTGAAAGTGTTTACCTTGAGGGCTACTTGGTTCTTGGCTCTGGCTGCTTTGTGCAGGGCTGTCATTCCATCTTTGGCTCTGAAGTCTAAATGTGCTCCTCCATTTTTCAGGGCTTTTATCACTTCTACTGTGTTGTCAAGCTGAGCTGCCAAAGTTAGGGGTGTTTCTAAGAAAGAAAAGAGGATGTACTTGGAAAAAGGTGAGCAAAATTATAAAATAAATTTAAGTTACTTTATAAAATAAAGTTTAAAATACTGTTATAAAATTATCTCCTTTGGACAGCAAAGCCATACAGATTGCACAGGCTTAGAGTTGTGAAGGAATGTGTGTGATTCACCCTGTTAATCAATTTAAGTTTAACTAACTCAAGGTACTCCTGTATGCTGCTTAGTTTAGTTGTTCTGACCTCCACTTTCTAAGTCATGATAGTTTGGGTCCAGTCCTCGGTCCAACATCTTGGTCATTTTTTCCACAGAGAGATGGTGGACATGATCCATAAACTTTTTCAAATTGGCCTGAAACAAAGAGCAAAAAATTAATCATCCTCTGATTTCAAAAATAAAATTTTTACTAGAAATGAAACATTTTTTCAACTGATGTCAACACCCACTGTGGGTAATTGCTAACTCCTGCAGGAAATTGGGATACCTTGGTGTGAAGCTTGGCCAGCTGCTTTTCATCAAGGTTGAACTGTCTGTACACTCTTTTCTTGTAGCGAAACTGAGGGAAGAAGAGGAAATTTTAAAACTTAGACTTAAAATTCATAATATCAATTTCTGATCTTACTAGGAAGTACCATCCACTGTGATGGTAGATTCAGGCAAAGTTTTAGAAATAGGCTCAGTATTTCATATAGTTTTACATCATTTAAGCAAAATTCATCTCTTGTACGAATACAAGAGATCAGTGGAGGTGTGTGAGAAATGAGATCAACCTCTAGAATCTACAGAAGTAAGCAAGAATTACACTGAAAAGCACTTTTCCCCAAGGATTCCTGTGCACTTTCATTTATAGTCTCAGGCAGAAAGCTGGGAAGACATGTTAAATACAAAAATATCGATTTCAAAATTGCAGCTTAGCATTTCTGAAATATAAAACCAAAAAAAGTACACCTGAAAATCCCTTAGTGTAATGTAAGAGGAACTTGTACATGGGAATAGTTCTGATGTTGAACAGGACTGGTTTGTGAATGAGATTCTGAGGATTGTCTCTTTTTGGCTGAAACTCAGTCCCATTTTATCCTGAGCAGCTTGGGTGCAGAAGCAAGACCTGTAGCAAATGTCATGGGGGTTTCCATAGCTATAATTTACCACTGTCTCATTGTCCCATGCAGAATTCCAGGAATGCAGCCTGTCTGTTGGACAAGGGACTGCACTGAATGAGGCTTTAACACCAGCTTTCCACAAAATCACTTTTAACACCTCAATTGCTGCAGTCAACACTCATGAAAAACGACAAAACACAATAAAGTGTCTGTTTAATTTCCTTACAGCTGTAATGTGATCATCAGTGACTGAAACTCTGAAATAAACTCCTGGAAAAGGGAAGACCTGAAGCCTTCTCAGGACCTTGATTTTTTCTCATGGATTTGTGTTATGGTGGAGTAAGTCTATTAACCACACATTATTAATGGTTGATCTGCCACCATACAGGCAATATCAAAATTAATTAAACGCCAGTTTCATGCCCCAGTTTGCTGCTGTGTTGCATGATCTGGCTCTGCTCCAAGTTTGTTCAGCACCATGAAAGTTCTGCCCAGCTTATCCCCAACTGCAGAGCCTCTGCAGGAGCAACAGAGAGGGAGAAATCCCAGCACACACCCTCTCCTCCCTTACTGCTGTCCCAGGAGGAGACAGAGGCAACCTGTGCACTCTGAAGGATGGCACAGAGGGAACCAGGTGGGGGTTAAAAAAGGCTGCACTGAGACAGAAACTTCTCTCTGGGAGAAGGCAAAGGCTGGTTATCCAGCAACTACTGCACTGCTATTGCAAACCTCATTACAGATCCAACAGCTTCACCTAGAGACTTACATTTCTGTATTAAATCACTAAATAAGATACATGTCCTGTGTCCTCAGCAAAGGAAAACTCCAAAATCCACTGTCCCAGAAGGGCTGACTCTGCAACTTTTTGGGGATGGACCAGCTCCATGAGCAGAGAATGCCAGCACTTCTGGGAGCAAGGGTTCAAGCTCAGACTTGCTGATAAGCACTTCCCAGATGTAATTCAGGTGCATGCAGACACCGCAGATACAGCTTTCTGCACAGTTTGTATCAGAATAGAAATGCTTCAGATGCCAGATCTAAAAATACCTCGAGTGAAGGAACTCCTTTATTGACTGGCTGTGGGTATTCCCTCAGAAGTCTCTCCTCATCCAAAAACTTCCCATCTCTCCCATTGCTTGCAGGCTGGAACAGTCCATAATTCAGGACATCTTTCAAACTCTGGTTCAAAGTGCACAAAATCCGCTGCTTTGCAACCCACACTGAAGCTTCCGGGTTAAACCGAATGCATTTCTGCAAAGAGAAATTATGTTAAGAAACCCAATTAGTGGGAAAAAAACCCATTTCAACAGTGTCTTACATTCTAAAATTTACAACTGTCATGAATAGTAGGAATATGCATAATAAATATACAGACTCCATGACAAAACATTGCTCAACAAGAATTCTATTTCAGATGTGCATTGATAATACCTAATGCACAAGCACTGTGAAAACACAGGACATTTTAAGTCCTTCCACAAAGCTCAGGAAACACACAGATCCTTCCTCAGAGAGAGAGCACATTCATGGAAAACCTGTTCAAAAGGGATGTTGCAAGGTGCTTAACTATCCACTTGCTTCTTGGATGTTCTGATGTCAGTTAGATCCAGAAAGATTTCATCAAAAACTGGTATTCAGGCAAGAATTCTACTTCCCTTTTAGCTACATTTATCTGAGGGTAAGTTTATGGGAGGAATGATATAACATGGAGCAAATTACTTGAAAACCTTGACAAACTTCTGCAGTTCTCTGCTTCTTACCAAGCTGGAATTCAGGGATTGAGGAGTTCAGGGATTTTGCCTGCACTGCAGTCACTGGTTCCAAGGTACCAGCAGATGGCAATGCCCAGAAAGCAATTTGGTGCCTCTGATGTGCATCCTGAACACACAATGCTGTCTCTGCTTTAATCCTTTACAGCCTTCAACATAAAAATGAAATGTCAGACTTTGTCACAAGGCCGGCTAGGAAGCAGCCTTCATTTCCCTGACTTTATTTTTCAAGATGTTTTGTGAAAAGTTTGGTGGTTTTATACGCTGAAGGGAAGGAGAGAGGGATACAAACTAGATTGTAATAAGTATTTTCCTCCCCAAACATCCCAGTAGGTACAGCATTGGCTTAGCAACAAGGCAAATCTGTTTGAAATCCCTGTGTTCCTTCTGAACCTCATTTGCTCCACAACTCCTACATGGATTCAAACTTCAGCACAAGATTCAGACTCAAACATCAGCAATTCTCAGCAAAACTGTCAGTTACCAGATGTGCAATGAGCCTAACTTTTAACATTACCCACACATCTGAAAGATTTCAGTGAGTGTTATTCAAATGGGAAGATAATGTTGAAATTATATGTAGTTTTTTTCCTCCAAGGAAATTCTTTCTTACATGAAACAAACTAATTTTGGACTTGTATGACACTGTTTTGATTTTTAAAATACAAAGCAGTTACTTCTGATCACAGTTTAATTAAGTCTACTGATTTTTAATGTACCTGGAGAATCCAACATATTCAATTTTGTTCAGTCTATTCTTGTGTTCTCTCTGTTCTTGATGGCAGACAAATATTTCACAAACTAACTCAGTGAGAGCTCCAGCTCTTCCAGTGATTCATAAGAAACAAAAGCAGGCTTATTGTAAAAAAAAACTGATTCCATTAGCAATTTAGAATGAAATAAGATCAGTTATGTAAAAAGTAAATTGATAACTGGAGAATTTTTTGCTACCAAAATGTTTCAGGCTGGGAAAAGTGAAACTAGTGAGAAAAGTGATTATTTATGCTTTCCATGAAGCCAGGCAGGATAGAAGTGGAGCTGTTACCACTCTCTCAGAGGCAGGTGCTGACCAAGAGGATAAAAAGAACCACTGAGATGCTGCATAAGGTGCATTTTCCATCAGCCTGCCCCTGGAACAACTGCACTGTGCTGCCTCTGTGTCCTCCTGGCAGCTCTCCAGGCAGGGAGCACCACAGCCACCCCCTCTATCCTGCAGACAAGTCATTACTTACTGCCACACTCTGTATCCTGAGGAAACATCAGCTCAGTCACAGCAGGACCCACACACAGGCTGTTCCAGTTATGAAATAAGGAACAATTCATCAGGCACACGTGGCGTGGTGGCCACAAGGAAAGGAGGCACCAGCAGAGTCAAAAAAAAAAAAAAAAAAAAAGGACAACTTTTCCTAATCTTCAATGGCAAGAAAAAATATTAAAGAATAGAGCTCTTTCAGTGACAAGGAACTACAGAAACACATGAAACAAAGATGTTTTGCAGTGACAGATACATTCACTGTAAAAAACCACAAAGAGGAGCCAAAAGAAAAAGCCCTGAGTGGCTCAAAGTCACTGTCAAAACCACAGCAGGCCCCTCAAAATTAAGTGTAGCAGCAAGACAGCACGTCAGCGCTGGCTGCTGAAATGCAAGGCCTGTGTTTGGGATGTGAAAGCTCCTTGGATCACAGCAGACATGGTCAGTTATAATCTTGCATTCCTGCACACTGGTGAGAGCAAGTCACTGAGTGAAGGGCAGGATGGGAGGCCAGGGAAAACACAACTCCCCCAGCTGAAGGGAAGATTAATTCAGCAGGAATAATGCTTATCATACCAAATGTCTGAGGGATAATATTTATCTGCTTAAAATCAATCAGCAAACATCTTTCTGCTCAGCTGTCAATCACACAAACTGTGCTGTGAACTGAGGGACATGACAAAATGGTTTGTACTGCTGCCTGTACTGCAGGATATCAAAATATGAGTTATTCCTTTCAATGGGAGATGTTGATATTAAAGATGAGACGGCCAAAAATTGGGAAACACAAATGAGAGTTTGGCATTGAAAGAAAAGAGAGCAAGTCCCACATTTTGGTTTGTGCTGTGTTCAGCTTGATCCTCTGCTGAAACACTGCTCTCCTTCATCAGGCTGCACTCAGGAAACACAGAATTCATGAGAGGATAGGTCAGAAAAACCAGTCCAGCCAGGCTGTCAGCAGATCACCTGCCCACATCAAGGGCATGTGAACAGATACCAGCAGCACAAAAATTCTCTTATCAAACTGAAGATAAAACAAGGAAGAGCAAACAGAAAGCAGCAAGGAACTATCAGGCACAAAGTGGGATACAGAAGAATACTTGAGAAAAGTTGTAAAAGAAAATCAGGAGTATCTATGAGGCAGCACAGTCTGGAAACAAGTGAAACTGGAGGCATCCCAAGGAAAAATGGGACTTGAGCTGCAGTTGTCACAACTGGGTTCCTTCTTTTTTAAAGGTAAAAAGTGCACAAAGTAAACAAAGTGTTTTATCTGAGAAGCAAAAACAGTATAGGAAAATATTCTTAATCCTAAAACCCAACAAATAACTTTAAAAAATTAAAGAAAGGATACAAAAGTATAAAAAGAAATGCAGAAACAGAACACCAAGAAGGGGCTCCAACTACAGCTGTTGCTATACCAAACTACCACTTACCAAATAATATTTTGCATAGAAAGTCCAATATAATTTGAAAAACACCAAACCCAGGCAAGGGAGGAATCAGTAAATGCTCATTATTGCAGTGGAGCAGCAAAACAGATGGGCAGAAAGTATCTCAGAGAAGTCTTCAGCAGACTCAAACCCATCTCAGGCTCAGAATTTCATAAAATGTATGGATTTGAGCATTTTGACTTTAAACATAACCCAGGGGGAGCACAAGTACAGGGTAAAACAAGAGTGGAACAAGCACCATGTGTTGATAATAAAATGATGAAAACATTCCTTAAAACCACTGGCTGACAGAAGTGTTCTCAGTGTCTGTGGCAAAGAGCAATTCTAAGCACAAAACATCATTGCTGTCAGAATATCAAGGTAAAGGAGATTTCCTTGACAACAGCTCCTGAAGAACCAGACTGATTTCACTTAGAGGCAGCATCACTTGCGATTAGTTCCTACATAGGCTGGAAAAGGAAATGGATACAAGATGACTGGGCCTGGATTCAGACCAAATAATACATGCCAGATAACACAGCTGTTTTACCCATGCTCCTTGAGACTGGAGGGCTTTCCATGCTCTCCATTCCCTCAGGAATTTTAATGAGCTCAGAAAATCTTTTAGTTATTAATTTAAATATTCTCCACCCTCCTGTGAGAAGGATGACACTTATTGAATACAGGTCATGCACAGAGGCAATGAGAAATTACCATTTCTACCAAGTCGTGTTTCAGTAAATTGGGTTATCACCCAAACTGAGAAGGAGACAAAAAAATAACTGATATAAGAACTGAAAAGCAATTGTTCTTAAGGGCTCTGTATGAACTTGTCAAGGTTCACATTGTCTTCTAAGTTTCAAATGAGAATAAAAGAGCAACAAGACAGACTTCCTACAATGTGTGGTAATTTATAAAGTTTTCCATGGCAGCACATCCTACTCATGGTGCTTGGTGCTTAATCTCACACCTGCAGTGGAATAAAGGCAGTTTGTGCTACAGCCACTGCAGACAAGCAAACTTCATTTCCTGGGAGTTTGGCTTTAAAGCTTCCCAGTGGGCTGAATTTTACCTAAACCCCTAAACTTATCTTTCTTAGAATAAATATAGTCTTGATCATACTCCCTAAAAAACAAAAAAAAAGCAGAAAACTAAATTATGTTATTTCATGCTTCTTTGATTAAACAGACTAATTTTAAACACCTCATATGTTAAATTAAGTATAATTATACAGGAAATGGGGCCTATGTTTGCTCTGGCTTGTAGCTGTACAACAGCTCAAACTCTTCACTACATTTAATCCACCAATATTTCTGTTTGCTAACCTGAATCCAGGTTTCACTTTCCTGCACAAGGAGTTTGTGGGCTGATAAATTAAATAAGAAATACATCAGCTGCTTTAGAATCACTTAATTCAGTTACTTTTCATGAAGAGTTTATTGAAAAGGAAAAAGAAATACAAAAAGTAAAGCGATAAAAACACACAAATGATAAAATTAATTTTTAAATCTGTCTTGATAATGTCAATAAATAACAAAAAAATAGTAATTAAATAAGAGGACTTCAGGAAGCTACTATCCCTGTGGTTTTAACAGCAGAGTAAACCTAGCAGAAAAGCTGGTATTTCCATTCCATTTTCATGGATCTGTTCATTGACGGGGTCACAGATAGAGCAAGCTGGTAAGATGATCAAAAAAGAGCTCCAGAACCACACCTGAGGGCACACTGTCAAAAGAGCTTTTCCCTGTCAGGCTGCATCCAGCCCATCTCTATCACCCTAAAAATGAACTTAATTAAGAAGAAAGGAAGGGTTTCATGAGATAGATCTTGAACAGCAGCAGGGCATGGTGTAGCTCTTACATGTCAGCACAGAGTGATGTACGTGGCTCAAATCCATGGAATGGATGGGTTTTTATAATCTTGGAAATTTCAAAAGGCTGGTGCCACCACTGAAAATCCTGATAGCAGCATTCAAGGAGACCCAGGGTAATTCAGATAATTAATAGCAAACTCAGACAAATTGTGGTTCTGGATGGAATCAGTCTCTGCCAAGACCTTTTCCAGCACGACACTGTTATTCCTATCACAGCACTAGTGTTGGTTTCTCTGGCTGGAAGGTTCAGAAACGACACCCTGTAGTAAAGGCACAGCAGCAAAGGAGGAAAGAAAGGTTTATTTGTGCTTTTTGTCCTCATCTTTACACTCTAAAAGCCACAGGCTCTCTAAAAGGGATGTCTTTTGTGAGGCAGGTTGACAGAGAAAGACAACAAATACAATAAAGAGAGAGAATTTGATGACCTCTTGCAGGACCCCAGTCTAGTGTCAATCACAAACTATTTCAGGAGAAAAGGAACTAGAGAAGCCATATATATATATATGAGGCCTTCATAGAGTTAACATGTGATTTTTTTTATAAAGCTATGGATTCCTAAGTCTCTTTCTTTTACCCAAAATCTCTGAATGCAGATCAGAGAGATATTTTGCTTTATGAACATGGCTTTCATCAGGTCAACACACTAAATTCTCTTGGAAGGGATGGTGCCTTTACTTGAGGCAACAGTCAGATAAACCACTGGGGTACAAAGCATAGGCATTAAAACAAAACATGAATTTTTTCTGTAATATGTCAAAATCAAAAAAGAAAGTAAAAAAAGGGAACAGATGTACTGCAGGCTGAAGCCAGCAAAGCTAATCATTAATTTCACTTTGTTTAATTGCAGTGCACTCTGCCTTACCGTTTGCTGCAAGTCAGGTATGATAATTCGAATCACTAAAGTGTTGCTCTGACTGTCTTCCATTCTGCTGCTTGGCTTTTCTGCAGTTGCTCTAATTGTGTCATAAATTGTTTCTTCTTTGGAGCTGTCTGATTCAGACTCAACAGAATAGTCAGAGAAGCTTTGTGCCATTTCATCTTCACTTGATGTAGGGCTACGAGGCATGTTAAAGTTTTTTATCCTGCCAATACAAAGGAGAAAAAGAAAAAAAATAAGTTACAGTTCAAGTCTTCAAAATGAATCAGCTGCATTGTTTTTTCTTCTTGGAAATAACATGCATTTAACAAGGAAGTTTTATGGTTTATCCCTCTTTTATTTCTTTCTGTCAGTTATGTGGGTAGGCAGAGTGTAAAGGAAATAAATCTGGCTACCAATTTACTAGAGAAAAGGAAGGGCAGGATAAGGAAAAAAAGAGTAGTAAAGAAGAAGATGACCTTCCTTCCCAGGCACACCCAGGCTCCCAAAGGATCCAGAAAAAACAGCACAATTACCCAGTCCTGTGATAACCAGCACTGCTGTAAACTGTACTAAGAGCTAGGTATGGCTTTGAAGCTTCCTCCTCCCAGTGAAAAGACATTTCAGGGAATTAATGCAAATGCTAAACTAACATCATCCTGTACATCAAGAATCTGCACAGGTGAGGCTTTCATAAAAGTCAGTATTCCCAAATAGTGGAACCAACCAAAAAACAAAATCCTATGGGGATCCAGACAGACACAGATGCTGCTCTGTGGTTTGTGGCTCACACAACATTCTTTTAAACCAACACCACCCAAATCTGGCCATTATACACACTCTGAGTTTAGAAGCAGTTTTAATCTGTGATATAGCTTAGGCTAAAATGAAAGCCATGTTTATTCCAGACTACAGACATTTGTAATCAGGGGTCTCACACTAAGAACAGCAGAACATTTTCCTTCTGGGCTTTTCCACCTATAAGAGCAAAGGAATTTTGTGGTTTTGTCCCACAAACTCAAAGCTGCTCCAGGATATGAAAATTATTATTCTGTGGACAAATGGAGGAAAACATTTACAGTGGAAAAAACTGAAAAGACCAACAATAAACTCTGCAGTGCTTGGACATCATATAACTTATCAGATTTCAGAGGCCAGAAAAATGTATTATTATTTTCCTTTTTTTCCTGTGAGAAATCCTCCAAGACAATTTCTCTGTATGTTAATGCAAAATAAAAATTCAGTTAGAAGAAAAATAAAATAAGAATGAATGAAAGAAAGAAAGAATGAACCAAACAAGCAATTCCACTGCCAGGTCACATTTAAAAAGAGACAGTAAAGCAAAAGTGAAACATGGAAGGGTGAAGTGACTTGATCACTCAAACCAGGTGAGGGTACTGAGGTATCCAAGTACACATTTTCTATACTGATCTCATCCAGATCAGCCCAAGTGAACAAGTCAAACAACAGCAAGGGATAAAAGAGCCTTTCTTACCATTGTATCTAACACTTTGGTTTAAGTCATTCCCTCTTCACTGCCCAGTCACTGTCCCAGCAGTGACTCCAGAGCAGGGACCAAAGGCTGCCACTGTCATTTCCCATTTCAGGTGCCCATGGGTTGGTTGGGCAGTGGAGAACCAGGCCTGGGGCTGGAGGTCAAGGACAAGCACTCCCACAGCACATCACATCACACCCCCACATCATCAAGCCTTATTGTTGCTTCTGATGAAGGATAATTCTAGTGTTATTACCCTCAGCTATAATTACTAATGAAGACAAAACCAGTGCATTCAGAAACCTGAAAGCAAGCCAGTTCACAGCAGCTTAATGGAAGGCTCTATTTACAAAGGAAAACTCTGCAGGGAGTATTTCATTTTTTGCTGCTTCAGTGAACTGTAGATTAATGCTGCTCTCCAAAGCACCTTAAGTCAATAAAAAGCATAAACATTTCTGTGGTTTCCCTATTTGTCTGCCACTGCTAAAACATGTGAACCCAAAATACAGCAGGGCAATACACAGAATTTAAGGGCATAAGGGGTACAGGCCAGTGAGTGTGAGCAGAAAGACATAAAGACCATCACATGGTTTGTCTGTCCCTAAAGCCATCTGAGAGTGCAACACACTCCAGGGCAGTGGATTTGACAGAGAGCAGTAAACTGCAGTTATACAGCAGCCAAATAAGAGCTGGGTTAGGAGGAAAAAACTTCCCCAGGTTTTGGCAAGTGGGTTTTCATGCAAAAACTATCCAGGAATATCTCATTCTATAATAAGAAAGGAAAATGTCCAGCTGAAAAACCAGCTTCCAGGAATCAAGCCTTTAAGTTTAATAAATACTGGGACAAAACACTTCTTGGAGACATGTCAACAAGGCATAAGACACCTAATCTTCTGGAAAATAATGCACAAGTAAGCACAGAAAGGATAATGAGAGTCTGTATCCACAGTAGCAAGATGAACAGGATATGGGCCCCACCAGCACAGTTGGGAAACAGATCATTTAAAAACCACTTTTTAAACAAGACTGTTTGAATACTGGAGAAACTGGCCATTTGTTGGCTCAAGTTGTGTGGAAATGGAAGATCCCACCACTTGTTAACCAGAGCCACTGGCTACCACAGCTCCCACAGAGAAGCTGTTATCTTTTAGGAACTGTTTCACTTTTGTCCCAAGGATATTCTAAAAGATTTTTCCACAACCAGACTTACTACATCAGGAAAAAAAGGCAAGCTGCCTGGCTTACTAATTAATACTTGTATAACCCATGAAAATATTGCATCCCAGATTCCTAATTCCTACCTGGCAATTCATTGGTTCAACACAGCTGAAACATAGATTAGGTTTATCATGGTTGTCTGGGATGCCTTCTTCCTTTTCTTAAAAAAAACCCAAAACAATAGATCATAGGATTCCTACAGTTAAACTGATTGTGTTTTGTTTGTGGCTGCTTTTGGTGTAGAGGAGTGCTGACAAGATTCTCTGTAAATTAATAAAAGCAGATGTCATTATCTTGGCAATAAGCATACAATGAAAAGTGTCACACCAACAGGGTTTGTCCAACCTCACATTGTCTGTCCATGTTTCTCAACTCCTGGGCACTGAGTGTGCCCCAGCTCCAGGCACTGTCCTGCCCCGGCCTCAGCACATCCCTAAGCAAAGCAAGCTTGAGCTGCAGCTGGTTGTGCACCCATTTTGACAGAGGAAGGCCACAAGGAAGCAGGAAGATGAGAGTGAAAGGATGGCTTCATGCTCCCCTTGTCACTGAACTCCTCCCCCAGCCCGTTGCCCTTTAGCTCGGCGGGAGCAGCAGGATGTGCTGCCCTCTGGGGCTGTGGCCAGGTGATGTTCCTCAGACCAACAGGCAGATGAAAGGAGCAGAGCTCAGACTGCTGCCTTCCCTTTACAAATGCTATTTTTAGATCGACTGTTTTCCAGTCCAGCCCACAGCTTTCACAAAATCTGCTGGAATTTCTTATTCTGCCACTGCACTATTAAGGAGAATTCCAAACAGTCCAAACCATGACCATCAAACTCCCTTTTTCTCTAAAAAATAATTTTTAAAAACCCTACAAGAACGTTGCAAAAGGCTGGAATTAAACAGTGCACAGGTTATCAAATGGGAAAAAATTCAACTCCCAGAGCTCACTCTCAGGGTGAAAGGTGTGCTCCAGAGAGTGCAAACAGACACAGCAGGGGAAAAACCAAGAGCAGCAACAGATTAATCTGTTCTTTGGAGCCTTAAGTTTGTTGAACATTACACAAAAGGAATTTAATAAATATACATATTTACATATATTTGTAAGTTAGGTATTTTAACTTGATGTGAGTTAAAATGTGAGAGGGTTTGAAATATCATCAATAGAGAGACATACCAGAGAGGGGATCTTCATTGAACATCCAGGTATTATCAGATAAATCCATTATAAAAACCACATTTTAAAATCTTCAGCTTACCTATGGCTCTGTGTGATTTTTGTTGACCCTGCAAAGTACCAAACCCTCCTGGTCTTGTTTGTCCCTAAAACACAGCTGAAGCCCAAGCACCGAATGCTTTGTCCAAGGCCAGGTCTCAGAGCAAGGTTTCAAATCCAGGGGTCACTGACTCCTAGTCAAGATAAGACCAATCTATTTTTATATAAACATTCATTTGCACAATAGCAGCCCTGTTGCCTGCAGGGGGAAGCCCTCCAGACTGCTGCAGTGAGGCCAGTTGCAAACCTACCTGTGGGAATATCTGGGACACAGAGTGGGCATTGTCACAGGCTGAGTAATGCCAAGAACCAGACTGTGAGAAAAGTTTGCTGGGAGAGGAAGTCACTGCTAGAAAGAGGTATTTAGTCATTAACTCTGAAGGAAAACTATTCAGGAAAGGGATTTCTGTGTAAAACCTGCCAGAGCTCCCAACACTTGGATTCTGTGGCTTTATTCAGGATTATACATATCAGCTCAAGAACCAGCTTGATGAGGTGCTAAATTAAAATGCTGGAGAAGATCAAGCATTTTCTTTTCTAATTATAATAATATTAAAACCAAAATGCACTTCAGACAGACCTGAAGGTGGGGGGGTTGAGTCCCAGCACACCATGCATTTCACATCTCCCCCTGGTTGGGCAGGAAAGGTCTCTTGCAGAGGGAAATTTGAATTGAAGACCAATTCCAAAGGGCAATTTGCAATTTGATGGGTTCAAGCTCCCTCTGCACTCCAACTTGAAAGCTGGCAGTAACCAGCATTGCCTCCCAAAAAGCAAGCCCACCTTCCTTGTGACCCCAGAGCACTCCACCCTTGTCCCCAGTGAAGCAAAACAAAGCACTGATCCAGGTCAAACTCCAGCTCTTTTTTTTTTTGTTTGAGAGGTTAGTTTCCAAACCCATCGTGCCTCTGAACTGGATCACTATGCAAATGTTTGCAGAAGCAGCAGGAGAAGGATGGCACAGGGCCAGAAGTGAACTGCCAGGGCCTGAAAAGGGCAGGACCACTTCATCCAAAGTCAGCATTAATGTTTGCCAGCACGGAGTGGACCTGGGACACCACTGCTGAGTGACAGGAAAGAGATCTCCACAAACAGAGGCACCTGATTAACCCCAAGGGAAATGTTATCAGCACCCAAATTCCACAATTCCAGCCAGGGCACAGACACCAAACCCAGCCAGGCAAAGGCAAAACCTAAAAGAAAATATCTACAAGAAGAAAGCTGGAACATGCACAAGGAGTG